TGTGGTCAGGCTTCTGAGTGGTCGCTGGAGATCAGTAGGAAATTTGTTGGTTGGAATTCAATAGTGAAGTGGTCCGTGGGGAGGAATTCCCATTGCCTCTCCATCGCGAGCCATGGCTGCCACTGCAGGTCGTGCTGATCCTCCAATGTACATAGTCTCTGTCCCTGGTCCACCCATGTACTAGCAGTAAAACTCCCGACTCTGGTGTCACGGTTTCAACTCTACTTCTCTGTACACTGAACCTGGTTATCTCTATGACCATATTCACTTACAAAGTCTAGAGTGCAGATTTCTATAGAAAAGATTGACCTCGTTGTTTGCTCCTTGTTTTCTAGGCTAGTATCAACTTCGATTTTTTATCTTTCTGTCGTATTTTAGTGCACCGCCACTGGCTGCGTTGTTGTCTCCTGAATTTCTTGAGAAGTAAAATTCTTATTGACTTTGTTCTGTTGCACGCATTGCTTTTAGTGTTTCGGATATAGAAACACGTGACGTAAACAGTTCGGACACGGTAACGGGTATTATGGGCATGCAGGAAGTTGGTTACATACTGGCTTAATATTCGCTGTTGGCATTTCCTTTTCCCACCTTCTGTGCCAAAGGGTTAGCAGATACCTTTATTTGATTCTAGGGTGTCTTCTAGTACATGTTTCTGTTTCTCCTAGGGAGGATTTAGGGTTGGACTAGTTGCAGTAGTTTCTGAGTATGTTGCTGCAGCAGCTTACAATTGAGAGAGGGAAGCAATTGTAGAGTGGTTCAGGGTGAAACTGCTGGGACTACTAGCAGTGGTGTCACTTTGAGCAGTGAGAGTGCGACAAGTGGCAGTGGGAACACTACTGGTCAGGTGGTAAGAGAGACCCAGTGAAGAGCAAACTTGAGCTGTATCCATCCAGTGCATGGTGGGAGACCCCCCTTGGCAGCTCAGGCTCCTTACAGTGTTTTGGACTGTGAGGATGAGAGGGTAGGCCTGATAGAGACGAGGGAATCATTGTGGGTGAGGATTTAATCTGGTACGTGCATAGTTATTCAGCGAAGGTTGCTGCAGCATCTTACGACTGAGAGAGGGAAGTAATTTCAGAGTGGTTCAGGGTGAAACTCGCGGAGGAGGAGGGAGATGATGACATTGGTTCAATCTTGAGCTCTCCTTCTTCTTCTTCTTCTTCTTCTTCTTCTTCTTCTTCTTCTTCTTCTTCTTCTTCTTCTTCTTCTTCTTCTTCTTCTTCTTCCTCCTTTCTTCCTTTCTTTAGTCTTCTTCTCTCTTAACGTAATCCCGGGTCTTGAGTTGTGAAGTATGACATTGCCTGCTCAGCAGGCAAATTGAAGTGAGGACACTAGAGCCCTATAGGGGAGTTGCACCCCAAAATATCCCCCCAAATATCACCCCTACTACTGAGGTTACCCTATACCTCAAATTCTTGATACCCTCTCTCAATCATCTGGTTGTCTACATCCCTATACCCCATAGTGTTCATACCCTAAACCAAACAGGGTTGTGTCTTGTGCATGGAGGGCCCGGAATCCCCTTACATTCAGGCCTCATTCTGCAGCACAAACAAACCCGAACCTCTAGAGTCTGCGCATCCCCAGAGATTTCCATCTATCGAGGTGCTGCAATTTTTTTCTTCTTTTCCCCTCTGCATAATAATGAGTTAAATTATACAATTAGGGATTTTTAAAAATAATTTATTATGCTTTAATCGATGAGATGATTTTCGGACAATCATTTTGCATTTTAATTTGTTTAATTGGGGAGTCAATGAGTCATCATTTGTCATTTCACATTTTTCAATGATTTTTGTGGTAGCCCCACACTAACAGTTATTGGGGACCCCCACTTGATGCAACTGCTTTGATGACCCCACCATAGTCAGAGGTGTGAGTGATAACTCACCCTATTTTACTATTTTACTATTTTACTATTTTATTATTTTTCCTTTTTCCCTTTTTTTTCTGAAAAAGTTCGGTTTTTTTTTTTTTTTTTTTTTTTGTCGAGATAATGCTGGAAAGTTGAAACCGGTTCCAGCTTCCCTTACAACAGACAACCCACCCATTTTTCATCTGGCACTTTCGGTATCTTCTCCTCCTCTCGCTGATTCTACGTTTGGATTTGAATGCACCTGTGGCAGAACAGATTTCATACCTTGAATAGCTTTGACGAGGGCAGAAAAAGTTGTCGGCGAAAATTGCGACGGCACAACGATCGCAGAAGGAAGCCTAGAAAGACATCTGAGCCTTTTTCTCTACGGATGAGCCCAT